TTCTTTTTTTTTAAAATTTAATATATTTATTTATTTGTGGTGCTGAGGATGAAACCCAGGGTTTCACCATGCTAGGTGAGTGCTCTACCGCTGAGCCACAATCCCAGCCCCCAGAATATAATTCTTAATGAAAAATGAAGGACTTGTTTCTGCTGTGGTCAAAACTTTGACAAGGACAGATGTTCACTGTGTATGCTGTTGTGCCCTTCTTGCTGTTTCTTTTTGGGGTCTGTAACCCTATTTCAAGGACTGGGTGTTATTAATTCTGACTTGTTGTGTTTCTCACCAAACTTCCAGCTGGTGTAGCCTGGACCAAAGCTGGTTGTAGTAGCTCTCAGCTTCTTGTCTCACAGCATAAGATGGGACAGACTAGGAGTACTGACAATTGGAGTTTTTTCTGGACTGTGTCAGTGTGCTCCCAGAGCAGGGCTAATGCAGATTTCTAAATGAAAAATTCCAGCTGCTGGGATTTAGTTTGGAACATCCTTTGGAACTTTGTAGGGTGGTATTTACTCCAGAGATTAGATCCCACCCCCTGTTACTGGGAAGATGCCAATGTCTGGGTCTCAGGGACCTTCTGAGGTACATAGTGAGGGATCTAAACCCTAATCCACTGTCATGGATGTGAACTTCCCAGGAACAGACCTGGAGGGTAAACATGGCCTGCCTGACCAATTTCTGACCTTACCCCATTATGAATGAGTGGGAAACACCAGACTCTCTTCCCTCAGTAATCCCAGTCTGGATTCCCCTGGGCACAGTCCTTTCTGTGCCTGTATCAATCACACTGGGCACACTCTGGACTCCATGGCAGACGTTTGCTGGGATAGGCTGGCAACATTATTATGAACTGCCCCCCTGCCGCTGCCAAGAGTTGCCACGAGGTGTCTTCAGAATGACTCACACCTCAGTTCTGCTTGCCAGCCAAGAGATTCAGAGTACTTTTCAATCAGCCTGCATACTGTCTTGGATCAATTAAGATCAGCCTCCCTGTCTGTTCCACAGGAGCTTTCATGCCAGATATATTCAGAGTGCTTTTTTCTTTTTCTGCTGCGTTACCCCTCTTTTCTGCAGTGAATAGACATAGTTGCCAAAGCTAGCACATCTCTAACACTTCATTTTTTTTTTTAATTTTTAATATTTATTTTTTAGTTCTTGGCGGACACAACATCTTTGTTGGTATGTGGTGCTGAGGATCGAACCCGGGCCGCACGCATGCCAGGCGAGCTCGCTACCGCTTGAGCCACATCCCCAGCCCACTAACACTTCATTTTCTGTGTTCAATGATTCTGAATTTCTGAGTTGCTATGATAATTTTACTGTCCACTGTTGAAATCCAGTGAATTCTGTCTATCACCCACCTTGCTGAGAAGCAGTACTCCCAATATTTAAATCTCAAGCCACAGAGAGACTGTAAAGTGCGACCTTCTTCTAATTCACCATCTTCCAAGTACTTCTATGCAATAAATTTGCTGTGTTGTGATTTTTGAAATTTGGCATTTAATGATGTTTCTTGTCGTGATCTAATATATACTCAGTCTGTAATTACTTAATAGTTTTGCACTTGTTTGTAATGGATTGAGATGTGTATTAAAATCCTGTATGATTGACGAAACTTACCTGTAAACTTATGCTTTAGGAAAGTTTGGGTTTTTTTTTTTTTTTTTTGGCTTGCTTGCTTGATTTTGTAACGCTGAGTATCCAGCTTAGGGTGCTGTGCATGGGAGAAAAGCAATCAGCTACAACTTCAGTGTGAAATGTGTAGCTTTGTTAATTGATATATAGACATTATGTTTATTATATATTTTTTGTGAATTGGAGGCTACAGATTTAGCATCTTTAAGATCATATCTCCTGCTTATGCTATATATATATATTTCTCCCCCCCCAAATTTTATTAGAGTTTATCATGTGTATAGACAAGTCTATACATGATAATGCAATCAAACAACCAATACAATCACAACTGTATGGCTTAAATGAAGGACCACAAGGGAAAGTACCCAGGTCCAGTAATAAAAACATTACCTGAAACCTAAGCCCCTTTGGAGCTTCTATGCAACCTATAGTTCCCTCAGTGTAACCACCATACATCAGTTGTCTCTGTTTGAACTGGAATCATGAAATATGTGTACCCTGTTGTGTTGGTTCTTTTGCTCAACTTTATGTTTGTGGAACCATCCAGATTACTGTTTGTAGAAACATTTCAGGTTATCCTCATTGCTAAATAGTATTTCAGTACATGAATATATCACTTGTGTGTGTCCATTTTACTATGAGCCTTCTTGAACTTGCTGCTTTGTTTTCATATGGTTGTTTGGTAATATATTAGGGGAGCAGTTGGTGTGACAGAGAATGTGAGTCTACATAAGCAGTTACTGTTGAGTTTTCCACAATGGCTGAAAAAGTTATGAGACTCATTAACAATTTATACAAGTTCCAGCTGCTCCACCGTCTTCTTAATACATGGTGTCGTCAGACAGTAAAATATGGTGGGGTAATGGTAAGGCATTGTGGTTTTCCTGATGACTAGTGAAGTGGAATGTCTTTATTTTGATGTCTGTTGGCCATTTGGACATCTTCCTTTGGGCAAGGCCAGGCCAAATCCTTAGCCCAATTTTGAGAAGTTTGTCTTTTTATTGTTGTTTCTTAGGCTTTTTTAATGTAATCTGAATGTGAGTCCCTTGTCACTTCTGTGTATGCAGATACACTTACCCTGTTCTTACCCTGTTCTCATGAATGGAAACTGCTTTTAAAAATATCATTATTTTTCCCTTCTGGGTGTGATGGCACATCCCTGTGACTTGGGAGGCTGAGGCAGGAGGATCCAAGTTCAAAACCAGCCTCAGCAACTTAGCAAGGCCCTAAGAAACTTAAGGAGATAATGTCTCAAAATAAAGGACTAGGGATAGGGCTCAGTGTAAAGCATATCTGGGTTCAATTCCTGTTTAAGAAAAAAGAAAAAGGAAAGAAATCAATCCTGCTAATATATACTCAGTCTGTAATTACTTAATAGCTTTGTACTTGTTTGTAATGGATTGAGATGTGTATTAAAATCCTGTTTTTTGTGTGTCTTTTTTGTGCCTTTTGTGTGTGTGTTCTGTGCCTGGGAATCAAACTCCCATCTAGGCAAGCACCCTACCACTGAACTATACCCCAGCCCTGCCTTGTATGGTATAACCTAGCCACCTGAACATTATTTTTATTATGATATATCTTACCTAACCTCAACTACTATGTTTAGAGGAAACTCTCATCTATGAATGTGATAAATTTGTCTTCATTTGACTTTCATGATATTATTTGTAGTAGTTATTGTAGATATTGGTAGTATGTTAAAAAAGAATATTAGATATTGCCTCTTAATTTCTTTGTTCCTTTTTAAAAAAAATCTGTGTGTGTGTGTGTGTGTGTGTGTGTGTGTGTTAGGGATGGAAACCAGGAACCCTCTACCACTGAACTACATCCCCAGACCTTTGTATTTTTTGAATCAGGATCTCACTAAGTTGCCTAGGCTGGCCTCAAACTTATGATTCTCCTACCTCAGCCTTCAGAATAGCTGGGATTATAGGTTTATGCTTGGTACCTTAATTTTGATTTCATCTTTATAGTGTGTCTGCTTATTTATTTGTACATTGGATGTGCTCTGATTTTGCTTTTTTAAAAAAATTCCTTTTCTTGTTAGATTTTGCTCCATTCACTACCTATATGTCTATGATATTTTTCAACCTTTGAACTCCTTGTAGTGTATTATTTGCAGAAAGGAATGAAAGAAGAATATTTTGCCTATTTTCTCTTTTATTTTTGAATTCACTCTTGCCAGCTGCCCATGCTGACAAGATGATCTGGGTTCAAAAGAGTCTGAGTCAACATTAGTCTAAGAAAATGGCAAAGAGATCACGCAACACATGGACATGAGTTTCTCAGGTCAAGGGTAGGACTGCTCTGTGACCTCAAGGGTCCTCTTCCATGCTGGAAGGCAAGAGAGTGTGCACCGGGAATCTATTTTATAGGGGGGCACACAAAGGAGCTTCAATGGAATGTTCCTCACCAAATAAGGCAGGAGATAGGGTTTCAAATGGGGGATGTCCGATCCCATTGGGTAATGCCCAAGTCCAGGGCTAGAGCAAACTTCTTTGCCAAGTTTAAGTGGAGACCACTTGTTTCGCACAGTGTGTGGCTTGCGATGCCAGATCAAACATCCCCATTACTCAAGGCTGAGAAAGGATGCTTAATCCATGGGTAGGATAGCTCCCACATTCTACTAACTCCCACCTATAGTCTAGCCATGGCTTTGTCACCTTTTCTGGGATTATGTATTTGATTATGTAGTCCAGCTTTAGATCTGTGAGATCATCATTTATTATTTATTCATGTTGGAATGGTGGCTGATAATTTTGATCTACTGTTTTTTGTGAGAATGTTAACACATTTTCATACTTTTGAATATCTTTAGAAACAGTACTTCTAATTGTATATAATTGTTATTTTTTTTAATGTAAAAATTTTTCCTGTAGCCAGGCACGGTGGCACACACCTGAAATCCCAGCAGCTCAGGAGGCTGAGACAGAAAGATCATGAATTCAGTGAGGCATTAAGCAACAAAGTGAGTCTGTCTTCATAAAATACAAAATAGGGCTGGGGATGTGGCTTAGTAGTCCAATACCTCTGAGTTCAATTCCCAGTATGAAAAAAATATGTATCTTGCAATAATGTTACTAATACATTCTCTGAAAGAGTGAACTGGGCAATGATAGATTTTTTTTTTTTTTTAGGTTTTTCTGCCCAAATTTAGAAGACAGTTTCATTGTAGTCTGGCCCTTTAAAATTGCCAGCTCTTATTTGCCATTCAGAACCTAAGTGGATTCAGGAGGACTTCTGCTACTGCCTCTGAGTTCATCTAGTATCTTCTCTGTTGTTATTGAAGAATATAGTCAAGCTCCCTGCTTATTTTAGGGGCCAGTACTACCTAAATATCAAAATGAGTCAAAGTATAACTCTTAAGAATAAGGGTGCAGAAGTCTTTAAATGTACTAGCAAACCAAATCCAGTAACAAAATGAATTATACAACATGACATTGTCAGATATATCCCAGGAATGGAAGGTTGGTTTAACCTCAAATCAATTAATGTAATGCATCTTATTAATATAATAATAATAATAAAATCACACAAACTCAATAGACAGAAAAAATGCATTTAACAAAAGCCAATACCCTTTCATAATAAAAACATTCTATAAACTAGGAATAAAAGGGAATTTCCTGAACATGACACAAAACATCTAGGTATATGCTTGACATCATAATGCTGCAAGCCTAGTGTTTTCCCCCTAAGATCAGGGAGACAAGGCAAGGATATCCACTTTTGCTACTTCTATTCAACATTATGGAGGTTTCAGCCAGAGCATGTAGACAAGAAAAAGAAAGAAAGGAATCAAGGTTGGAATACACATAAAAATCATCTCCATTTCCAGATGACATTACATAGAAAATCCTAAAAAATCAAGACACATATACAAGAGAAAAAAAATAGGGGCTGGGGTTGTGGCTCAGAGGTAGAGTGCTTGCCTAGCACATGCAAGGTTCTGGGTTCAATCCTCAGCATCACATAAAAATAAATAAAATAAAGGTATAAAAATATTATTTAAAATAAATAGAACTGAGTTTCAGCTAAGCTTGAGGATATAGGATTAATTGTGTCTTTGTACATGTGCAGCAAACAATCCACAAATGAAATTGACCCAGTAATATACTCCAAAAAAGTACTTTAGAATAAATTTAACAAAAGAACTTAATTTACATTGTGAAAATTCCAAAATAGGTACACAGTGATTTGTCTATGAAAGCGCATAGCCACATTTTTCATAATAGTCAAAGGTTAGAAATGGCTCAAATGTCCATTACTGGAGCAATGGGTAAACAATATGGTCTATCTGTGCAGGAATATTATTAGTAGAAAGTTATATTTAGATGTGCTACAACTTGGATGAACCTTGAAAACATGATAAATCAAAGAAACCACTCATGGGGCTGGGGATGTGGCTCAAGCAGTAGCATGCTCGCCTGGCATGCATGCAGCCCGGGTTTGATCCTCAGCACCACATACAAAAAAAAAAGATGTTGTGTCCGCTGAAAACTAAAAAATAAATATTAAAAAATTCTCTCTCTCTCTCTCTAAAAAAGAAAAGAAAAGAAAGAAACCACTCATGAGTCCATGTATTGATTCCATTTGTGTTAAAAGCTATGGGGTGGTTATCAATAGAGAAAAAAAGCTAGATAATTCATTATTTAAGTTTAGGTGGGTAACAGGAGGAATAATAGCTAAAAAAGGTATAGGTTTTCTTTTTGCATTGATGACAATATTCTGAAATTGACTTAAGATGGTTGCACATATATAAAAATACACTAAGAACCATTGAATTGTTCACTCTAAATTGGCTAATTATGTAGTATGGAATTGTAACCCAATAAAGCTGTTAAAAATATAGTAGCCAGCTGTTTTACTAGCTGAATTGCCGTTATTTCTATATGTCTCCTTTTAGTACCTCTTTTTTATATCAGTTTTGCTCACAGAAACTTCCATTCAGGGTCTGGCCTTCTCCTCATGGCAATGAATATTTCTTGATTTTCTTTATAGTATGACTGTGGCATCTAAAACGTTCTCCTTGTTTTTTTCCACACTCTTTCCAGGAGGACTGGCAGAAACAGAATTAGTTACTCCTTTAAAGTATATCATACGTCTCTCATATCCCATCTGCTTTCCTTTGATGAGTCTGAGGGAACAGACATGGAGACTTGTAAAGCTATTCTATTTAATTTTATATAGGTTCGATTATTCCATATTTTTAAGTAAACACATATATACACATACACACACAAATTGCCCAAACATAATATTGTTTATTTGGTATTTTTTTTGTTTTCATTTTAGAGTGGGAATGAATATCAGAATCATGTTCTCATTTTCTCTAAGACATATGTTGTCTTAAAAGGTTGCAAGGATGTGGGCAGAAAGCAGAGAAAGAAGAGAGTGTAAGGACTTGGAGGTTAATGAGAATTGACAGTCCAGTTGAGCCAAGACTTGTACACATGTCTGTTTGTGCCCCAGGAAAGACTACTTGGGCTGTGCATATCAGTCATGTCTCTAAATGTCATTCATCCTGGTAAAGTTTATTGTGGCCTATCTTACCTTTAGATTTATGGCCCCTCTTGGATGCTTTGGATGAAAATCAGTTGGTAGGTGCAATAAACTTCGTTGGACATGGAGGAAATAAAAGTTACTGTCATGGAAGTATGTAGGACTGCTGTGGGCAGGTACAGTGCACTCCCAATTGGAAAATTCCATTGCCCTTGAGATGATCTTGGGTTTGTATAATTGTAGAGAACACTTGCAAAAAATTAAAATGATGTTATCTCATACCTAGATTCATGTAATGATTTTGACAATTTTAATTAGACTGAAACTCCATAGTGCTTAAGTAAAATCTCTCTAGTTGGAATAGGGCCAAGATTTTCCCAGACTTCCTCTAACCTTCCTGCAAGGAAGAAAATGGCCTTTCTTATTTCTCCATTCTTTTCCTCTAGCTCTGTTCTCATGGCTGCTTTACCAAGAGAATAATCCAGAGGAGGACTGGTCAACTCTTGGAATTTGAAGTCATAACCCATTTGACTCAAATTGTTTCCAAAATGTAATCATTTATTTCAAAGCATATGAATATTTTTATCACATGTCCTTAAACTAATTACCTGATTCATTCCAAGGTGGTAAATGATGGTTGTCAGACAGTCCCATGCCTTCCCTAGATGTCCCTCTTTTTTTTTTCCAACCAGTATTCCCAAATTGCCTGACAGGGCATTCAGTATCTCCTGGATCCTAATTTTCTGACAGAGCACTGAAAGAGAAGAAATTAATTTTTTAAAAGAGAATAGAAGACACCTTTATCATAAAACTGCAGCTTTACAAGGAGGAACCAAGTGGTTACAGTGAAGGCACATGAAATTTTTAATTTACTCCATAAATGGGATATTTCAATTAGTTAAAATGGAATTCAGCATTAGTTGGTATTCATTTCAACATATGGCTTTTAGTCAGAAGTATGACAAGACAGAGAATTCATAGAGATCTGGGATCTTGCCAGGAAATCTGAGAGAGACTAGCAGTATTAACAAAACCTGTGCCGATTGTTAGCTATTTAGCAAAGAGCCTGAGACCTTACACATTGTCCAAAGGAAATAGTATTCTGTTAGGAAGCATACCTGTAAAGCGTTCTTCCTATTTAAACCAATGGAATTCAACTAAAAGTAGTTTACATAAAACACAAGGAAAATGAACAGCCCACAAAACCCCCAGCTTTCTTCATATTAAAAATCTGGAGGTAGTGATTGCAGCCTGATGCAGTCTCTCAGTGACATCACAAAGAACTCCTATGACATATAATACTCTAGGCTACCATCCTAGTGCCTTGTATTATATGAAGGTCACTGGATGTTGTGACTGAGCAATAGGAGTTTTGACAGCATGAAAGCTCTTGGCTTCAGTCACACTAATATATAATTTTCTCCCATACCACAGGCTGCTAACTCTACTTTTTTGTTCCTTGTATGTCCAGTTCCCTACAGTGCACTTTTCTACCTTTTCCCTTTCCATCAAAAATATTTCATCAGATTTCACCATTAATATTTTTGTTTGTGCTTTTAGCAGTTGTGATGTTCAGGAATGTGGCTGTGGATTTCTCTTAGGGTAATGGATGGGCCTGAAAAACAGGGATATTTACAGACATGTGATGTTGGAGAACTAGAGCCACCTCATCTCACTGGGGAAGATTCAAAATTTGAACTTAGAAATTCTTGCTATCGGGCTGGGGAAACAGCTCAGTTGGTAGAGTGGTTGCTTTGCATGTACAAGGCCCTGGGTTTAATACACAGCACCAAAAATTTTTAAAAAGAAAGAAGAAAGAAAAAAAGATATTCCTGCTATTACTGTGGATTGTTTTTAAATATTTACAGGGATTTTTTGACCTTTTTTCTTGGGAAATGGTTTGTTTTGTAAAGCAAGCAGTTGCCAAGGTTCAGAAATCCTCTATCATTTTTGTTAGAATTGTGATTAACCAAAGTACCAGCTGGAGATTTGGAACTTTTAGCTATGTGGTCTTTTTTTTTTTTTTTTTTTTAAATTGCTGGTTTGGACTGTGCTTTATCAGCCAGACATGTTATATTTACTCAGGAAAGAACAAGAACTCAGGATTGTTTGAGGAATAAATTAAGAGGGTCTTAACCAGGTGAGTGTGGGTAAGCATCATCAGGCAGCCATCATAGATAATAGCTCAGCTACTTAATGAGGCACCAGCACCCCTAGAATATCCAGCTTGAGTATTATGTCCTGACAGAATATCTCTGATAAAAACTTGAAATCCATACACAAACCCTTTTTCAAGAGAACTTTCTCTTTACTTCAGATACCTCTCCATTTCTATACTTTTGTTTTCCCCTATTATTACAGAAAGGTTAGATGGTTGCTATACTTTTCCTCCAGTGATGTCATATTGTGGATTATTGGGATCAAGTTCCTTCCTATCTTTTTAAAAATTTATTTACAAATTTCTTTGCCCTTTAGTTTTGTGGCCTTAGTTCTAATTTTACCTACTATCTCTTGAATTTTTCTTATTTTATGTTCTTTACTTGCTTGTACATTTTCTTCATCAATTAATTTATTCTTTGAACTAACATTCATTGATTTTCTAATTTTATTATTTTAGGTTTAGAAGAATTAACAGGGTATATAATACATTGGCCCATTGTCCCAGATGTTGCACATGCATACAAACCTAAAATATAGTATATAATATTTAATGCAGTTACATAATATTTAATAAAATTATCCCGTCTGTGTTTCCTGGCCCCTAGATTTTTTAATACCTTTCATCTATCCTAACTGTGCTGTTTTTCTTGTAAGTTTATTTGTTCCACAATTTTTAATGCCTAATGGTTCCTAAAGTTTGATTATATCACACTGAATTAACCACAATTTTAAATCTTTAACTTATTTTTCTGTTATTGATGTGGTAGCTGGACATTTTTTTTTCATTTTTTTGGGACGGTTGAGGAGGTACTAAGGATTGAATTACCACAGAGCTACATTCTAAGACCTTTAATTTTTTTTTTAAATTTTCGCATTAAGTTGCTGAGAGCCTCACTAAATTGCTGGGAGGGTAGCCTCAAACTTGTAATCCTTATGACTTAGCCTCCTGAGTCACTGAGATTACAGACATGTGCCACCATACCCAGCTGTATGATCATTTTTTATTGAACTCCTCAGATGAATATAAACAAAACTTCCTGTCTCATCAAATGCTTCCAGTTTTATTTCTTCTTTTACATTTTATTATTTACCTTTTTTCAGATGGTTCAAAATTTGGGAATTCTTTGTGCTTTAATTTCAGTTTTTATTTCTATGTCTACTTTGGAATATTAATCTCTTTTGTAGAGTAAAACTATTTACCTTCTTATCTTGCAGACATACATTCCAGGAATCAAACCAAGAAGTTAATTTAAAAAAAAAAAACAATGGAAATGTGTTGATCTGCAACCTTGGATGATTATGTTATAGTTGTGATACGGAAGGCAAAAGTCAGTTTCAAACAAAACAGAAAAATCAGGAGGAAAAAATGCTTACTGTGAACCCACACATGGCTTTTACTCGACATCAGAGACTCAATACAGGAGAGAGACTGAATGAACTTAAAGGATGTGAGAAAGCCTTCATTTCTGCCTCAGACCACACTCAACATCAGACGGTTCACATTGATGAGAAATTCTGTGAAGATAAGGATCTTGGGAAGACATTTATTCCTGATTCAGAATTTCAGACAGTTCATACTGGTAAGAAAACATATGAATGTGAAGAATGTGGCCAGGCTTTTAGTTTGCAATCAAGCCTTACTGGTCATAAGAGAATTCATACTGGGGAAAAAACTTTTAAATGTAAAGAATGTGAAAAGGCATTTAGATGTCATTCACATCTTAGTTTTCATAAGCGAATTCATACTGGTGAAAAGTCTTATGGATGTAAGGAATGTGGGAAGGCATTTAGTTGTGGCTCAGGACTTATTCGACATCAGAGAATTCATACTGGTGAAAAGCCCTATGAATGTAATGATTGTAGTAAGGCCTTTACTTGTGGCTCAGACCTCACTCGACATCAGAGGATTCATACTGGTGAAAAACCCTACAAATGTAATGAGTGCAGAAAGGCCTTTAGCCAGCCATCCCATCTTATTAAACATCATAGAATTCACACTGGCGAAAAACCTTATGAATGTAAGGAATGTGGGAAAACTTTTACTTGTGGCTCACACCTAAGTCAACATCAGAAAGTTCATACTGGTGAGAAATCACTTCAGTGTAAGGAATGTGGGAAATCCTTTAGTTCTCGCTCAAATCATCGTCAACATCAGTTAATTCACACTAGTGAGAAACTATGTGAGGACAAGGAATGTGGGAAGTTCTCGCTTTCTGTTTCAGCTGTTACTCAATATCAGACTATTCACAATGATAAGAAAAAATATGAATGTAAAGAATGTGGCAAAACTTTTAGTTTACGTTCCAGTCTCAGTGGTCACAAGAGAATTCATAGTGGGGAGAAGCCATTAAAATGTAAGGAATGTGGGAAGGCCTTTAGGTTTCACTCACAACTTAGTATCCATAAACGAATTCATACTGGTGAGAAATCATATAAATGTAAAGAATGTGGGAAGGCCTTTAGTTGTGGCTCAGACCTTACTCGACACTGGAGAATTCATACTGGTGAAAAGCCCTATGAATGTCATGAATGCAGAAAGGCTTTTAATCAGCGATCGCATCTTATTAGCCATCAGATAATTCACATGAGTGGAAAACCTTTTGAATGTAAAGAATGTGGGAAAAATTTTGCTCGTATTTCACACTTAATTCAACATCAGAACATTCATAAATGTGAGAAATCCCATGAATGTAAAGACTTTCATAAAAAAGCCATTAGTTCTGATACAAAACATAGTCAACATCAGTTAATTCACACTGGTGAGAAATTCTGTGATGATAAGGAATCTCAGAAGATGTTTGTTCCTGACTTGGAACTTACTCAATCTCAGATACATCATGATAGGAAAACGTATACATGTAAAGAATGTGGCAAGTGTTTTAGGTCATGTGCAAGTCTTAGTAGTCACAACAAAATTCATACTGTGGAGAAAGATTTAAAGTGTAAGGATTGTGGGAAGGCCTTTGGTTATATGTCAGACCTTACTAGACATCAGAGGATTCATACTGGTGAAAAACCTTATGAGTGTAAAGACTGTAGAAAGGCCTTCACGTGTGGCTCAGACCTTACTCGCCATCAAAGAATTCATACTGGTGAAAAGCCCTATCAATGTAAAGAATGCAGAAAGTCCTTTAGTCAGCATTCACATCTTATTAACCATCAGAGAATTCACACTGGTGAAAAACCTTATGAATGTAAGGAGTGTGGGAAAGACTTTACTCGTCGTGCATACCTAACTCGACATCAGAAAATTCATACTAATGAGAAATTGTGTCAATGGAAGGAATGTAGAAAGGTCTTCAGTTCTGCCTCAGACCATAATCAGCATCAGGTCGTTCACAGTGGTAAAATGTTACATGAAGAAAACGAATGCAGGAAAACCTTTCTTCCTGACTTGGAACTTACTCAATGTCAAACTTTCCACACTGGTAAGAAAACATATGAGTGTAAAGAATGCGGCAAGACTTTTAGTTTGAGATCAGGTCTGTCTTGTCACAGGAGAATTCATAGTGGGGAGAAACCATTAAAATGTAAGGAATGTGGCAAAGCCTTTAGATTTCATTCACAACTTAGTGTCCACAAGCGAGTTCATACTGGTGAGAAATCCTATGAATGTAAAGAATGTGGGAAGGCCTTTAGCTCTGGCTCAGATCTTATTCGTCATCACAGAATTCATACAGGTGAAAAGCCCTATGAATGTACTCACTGTGGAAAAGCCTTTAGTCAAAGATCACATCTCATTAAACATCAAAGAATTCACAATGGTGCAAAACCATATGAATGTAAGGACTGTAGGAAAGCATTTACTCTTGAGTCACACCTAACTCAACATCAGAAAATTCATATTGGTGCTTTGTGGCACCTCTACTCTAGGGACATTCCCTCAGCTGATGAGAGAACTATGTGGCTCAACCTCTGTCAGTCTATTTCCTCCACTACCTGGAGGAACTGTAGAGAGGAGGCTGAGGGACCCTGGAATCCAGATATGAAATCAGTTACCTTTGAGGATGTCGCTCTGAGCTTTTCTGTAGAGGAGTGGGCTTTGCTGGATCCTTTCCAAAAGAAGCTCTACAGAGATGTAATGTGGGAAACCTTCAGGAACCTGGCCTCTATAGAAATCAAATGAAACACAGACTCTGAACATAAATAGGTAATCAAAACGTAGAAAAATATTCAGTAGTACTATAGATCCTATGGTAAACAAGAAAACTTCCTTGAGTAAAAAGCTGGTCAAAGTAATTTGTTTGGAGAAGTCCTCATTGGTCATTCACGTGTTAATGTTCCTTTCAGAGCTCATACCAGATACAAATGATATGAATGTCAGGAATATGGAGAGCAGCTATACAAAGGCAAGGAATATGGAGAGCAGCTATACAAAGGCAAGGAATATGGGAGTCCCTTAGTTGTTACCAGATAACATTCAGAGGAATGAAAGGACACTTTAGAATAAACATCAAGAATGGATACAAGGTGATAAAATGCTCAGATATTCCATTTTTAATGAAATTACTTACTACAGAAGACCCCTACATATGTGATCAATGTGGGAAAGACATCTGAGATCACAGTTCCGTCACAAAACACAGACAACACAAACTCTCAGTGTAGAGTATTCCTACATAAGTAAACAATGTAGGAAAGCCTTCAGTCATTGCAATACCTTTCACAAGTATGAAAAAATTCACACTAGACAACAACTCAAAATATAGAATGTGTAAATGCTTCATTACCACACAAAGTTTCTAGAAAATTTGAGATTGAATGGTGGAAAAAACTCATGTCAATGAAAGATGTGTGGAATGTCTCTAGTCATCTTGGTTTTGTTCATATATGTGAAAGAACAAAATATAGTCAGGGACCATGACTAGAAAAAGGTGCAAAACTCCTGATTTGGCCCATATATAACAATGCACAAAGCCCTGTAAATGTGAAAAACACAAGAAAGTTTTCAGGTTTTACAGATTCCAAGCCCTGTAAAAATTCCCCATGTAGGGGAAATATATGTAAATACTATTAAAAGCTTGATTCAATTGAAGTGGTGTAGAATACTGCAAAAAATGCAAAACCTAAAAAGAATGTAAAAAAGTTAAATATATATTGTGTGTATCAGTGACTTAATAAAAATTTTTACTCTTGGGAATAAATACTGAAGTTGGCTGTGTAGGTGTGTGCCTGTAATATCAGTGACTTGGGAGGCTAAAGCAAGAGGACCCTAAGTTAGAGAACAGCCTCAGCAACTTAGTGAGACCCTTTCTTAAAATACATAAGATGCAGATGTGCAGATGTATCTTAGTGGTTAAGAAAGCAACACCCACACAAAAATTCAATACCTGCTACCAAAACAAACAACAACAACCAAAAAAAAAAAGGAAAAGAAACTAAAGTTTGAGGTGATACAATTCTATAAGTTGTGTTTAAACAGTAGTGTATGGTTTTAATCAGTATGGACTGTTTAAGTTGAATCAGGGTTTTAAGTTACATACAGAGTTTGTTTTTTTTCTCCTTTCATTTTGAACTATATTGAATCCTTGGGAGAAATGAAATGTGTTCTTCATATGCCAGCTTGAGAGACAGGCCATTAAAAATGAGTTTAGGTTAGGCCTGCACAGTGGTGCATGGCTATAATCCCAGGGGCTCAGGAGACCAAAGCAGGATAATGAATTCAAAGCCAGTCTCAGCAACTTAGTGAGGCACTTAACAACTCAGCAAGACCCTGTCTCTAATAAAATATAGAAAGAGGGCTGGGGATGTGGTTAAGTACTCCTGGGTTCAACCCCCAGCTCCCTGCCCCAATGAGTTTATGTTAATAGTTGGAATTTTCCTACTGACTTTGTATGCAAGTTTGTTACATTTTATATGACTATAATCCACCTGTCATTTCTCTGAACTAAGGACACTGTTTATGTAAATTTTATATTTTTTATACTTTTTGACGTGATTCAAACAAGATTTCTATGACATCTTAGAGTATACTGTTTCCAAACAACTTGTATAGATTTAGCAAATGTTACAATTTTAATTTCTGAGCAGACATGCACATATCCCAACATAATCATAAATTAGATAAAGTATGCTTTTCCATTGAATTTCATAGTACTTATCATGAGCATAACTTTACATGTTTTTTTCTCTCATGAATTTTTCCTTCTCATTCTTATATTCTCTTCCTTAACAATACCGAAATATGCTGGTGTGAGTGCCCTCTGCAAGAGATCATCAGTACAATAACTTTTCCCACATAGGATACATTGACTTGTAACCCATCTAGGCACAACACATTTTTGGGGGGTAGTATCAGAGATTGAACTCAAGCGCAATCAAACACTGAGCCACATGCCCAGCCCTATTTTGTATTTTATTTAGAGACAGGGTCTCACTGAGTTGCTTACAGTCTTGCTCTTGCTGAGGCTGGCTTTGAACTCATCCTCCTGCCTCAGGCTCCTGAGTTGATGGGATTACAGACATGCACCACCATGCCCAGCTGGGAAGATTTTTATTTGGGCTTTGTATTTTGCTCAACATGAGAAAATTTAAGAAAATTTACTCCATAAATGTAAGGAATGTAGAAAGACCTTTTTTTTATGGCTCAAATTTTCATCATCACCAAGAAACTCATACTGGTAAGAAAATCTATGAATGCAAGGAATGTGAAAAGAGCTTTTTTTTCATGACTCAGAACTTAATTAACATCATTTCCTATACCAGAAAGAGACCCACATGAATGTGAAGAGTATGGGAAATCTGTATCTAGGACTCCACCATTTCTGTGACAGAAAAAATCCATACTGATGCATAACCCTATGAAGAGAAGAAAAGTAACCACATCTTTAGTTACACTTCATATTTTACTAAGCAGAAAATTCACCATGGTGAGAACCACTATGAATGGACACTTTGGGAACACCTTTAATCATGACTCAATGTTTGCTCAACAGCATAATATTTACACTATTGAAAAGTATAATGAATATGAAGATTTAGAGAATGTTTTCTTTAATTTTATCTATTATCATACAAAAACTTAGGAATAGTTTTATTTATAACAATATAACATTAATTATTAATTCATTAATTATTAATTCATTAATTCATCCTTTTGAGAATCACCAAAGTATAATATGGAAGGCATTCTGATATGGTATAGAATTCACCTATCTACAGAAAATTCACAATGCAATCTATATTTATTTAGGAAAGGATTTACTGATTCATCATCATTATGGAATATCAGGGTTAAGTTTTTTTAAAAACTTTTAATAAGCTGTTTCATCTTGCTCATAAGGAAAATGCAAGACATCCCCAAAATGCAAGAAATAAAACTAAGAATCAATAAAAAGGATGTCATCAAACCAAAACGCTTTTGCACAGCAAAGGAAATGATTAAAAGCATGAAGAGAGAGCCTACAGAATGGGAGAAAATCTTGACCAGCTACATCCAATAGGGGATAAATATCCAGAATATTTGAGAAATAACTCAAAAAGCTTAAAATCAAAAAACAAAAACCTATAACCCAATCAATAAGTGGGCAAGAGAACTAAACAAACTTCTCAAAAGAAGAAACACAAATAGATAACAAATATATGAAAAAATGGTCAATATATCTAGCAATTAGAGACATGTAGATCAAAACTACACTAAGATTTCATTTCCCTCTAGTATGAGCGGCCATGATTAAGAATACGAATAATAATAAATGCTGGCAAGGTCATAGGGGAAAGGTATATTTGTACTTTATTTGTGGGGCTGCAGATTAGTACAACCACTCTTGAAAGCAGTATGGAGATTGCTCATAAAACTAGGAATGGAACCATTATTTGACTCAGCTGTCCCACTCCCTTGAATTTTCCCAAAAGATCTAAAATCAGCATAATAAATCCACATCAGTGCTTACAGCAGTGCAGTTCACAATAGCTAAATTATGTAATCAACCCAGATGCCCATCAATAAATGAACAGATTAAGAAATTGTTGTATATGTGTATACAATGGAGTTCTACTCAGGCATGAAAAAGAATGAAATCATGTCATTTACCAGTAAGTTAGAAATGGACGATATCATGATAAGTGGAATTAGTCAAACTCAAAGACTCAAAGGTTGATTGTTTTCTCTCATAAGCTAGAGTGAAATAAAGAAAAGGGGAAGGGAAGGCTAGATAACATAAAGAACCAAATACAGAAGTTCACTGAATTAGATAAAGGGAAATGAAGGGAGGGAGGGGGAATGGGAATAGGAAAGACTGGAATGAGTCGGACATAATTTTCATATGTACATGTATGAACACATGACCAGTGTAAGTAACTTCCCATCATGTACAATCACAAGAATGGTTAGTTATACTCCATGAAAGTATAATATGTCACAATACACTCTACTGTCATGTATAACTAAAAAGAACAAATTAAAAAAAAATTAAAAAGAACCAAATATAGCTTTCCAGCTCTCCAGCTATCTTGACAGCTACTCTTGGTTGGGGGTAGTCCACATCTAAGGTAGGAAGATGGTGGCCCCAAAGAAGACAAAACATGTCTCTGGAGTTAATAAAGCTCCAACTTGTTTTGGAAAGTGGAAAGTATGTGCTGGGTTACAGCAGACTCCAAAGATGATCACATAGGGCAAAGTGAAATTGCCCTCCTTGCCAATAACTATCCAGCTTTGAGGAAATCTGAAATAGAGTACTGTGCCATATTGGCCAAAACTGGTGACCATCACTACAGTGGCTATAATGTTGAATTGGGCACAACATGCGGAAAATACTACAGAGTGTGCATGCTGTCTATCATTGGTCCACATGAGTCTGATATCATTAGAAGCATGCCAGAACAGACTGGTGAAAGGTAAAACATGCAAAATTTTTCTTTAATAAAACTTGGCAGAGCTTGTTTAAAAAAAAGAACCAAATATACATTAATAGACTAGTGAAAAGAAATCTAATAGAGTAGAGGAATGGGAGAGGGATAGAAGACAGGAGGGAAAAAGAGAAGATCATGAACTAAAATTGATTTCCATGCATGTCTAAAGTTGTTAGGATGAACCTAACTACTGTGTAAAATTATAAAGCTATACTTTGAAAAAAAAAAAAAGCAAAACTACACTGAGATACCACTTCATACCAGTCAAATGGGCTAACATCCAAAAATGTATTAAAGTACTCCATAGTAGGAGCAAAGAAAAGATTCACACATATTCCCTATATTAAGCTAGCATCTCAAAATTATTTTCCCTCCTCCTCCTCTTTGTTAAAGGATTTATTATGAAATTTTAGTGAGACAAACTGAAAGAATATTACAGTGAACAACCATATGCCTCCTACCTACTCTACCACTGATATTTCATGGTACTTTCAGCTGGAATATTTACCAGTTAGGTTTGCATAAACTTGCATTACCAAAGAGTCTGAATTATTCACTTTGCCACTCTGAGGTGCTGTATGCATCCATTAATGTTTATTAGTGGACATGGAAATGGCAGAAGCATCCCAAAGTATGCCTGTATGTTCCTAACATATTCCTGCTTCCTTTTTGAGAATTAAGTTGACATTCTGTAGGTGTCACACATACTTGACATCTTTCCTTTGCCTGAAGGACAGATTCTATAACAAGATCATTGGAATCATCCTATCCCTTAGTGGAAGAAACTAAGATGTCAAAAATAGCAAAGTTCAAATGTATGGGAATGAAAAGCAAACATTACTGGCTGGCAAAGAGGACCTGCCTGATGAGATGTAACAATAAGACCTATTCCCTCCTTTGTTTCTCAAACCCACCTATTTTTGAAGAAACAACAGCATACTATACTGTAGTTTAAACCATCTGTTTTCTTTTTTTTTTTAAGAGAGAATTTTTTAATATTTATTTTTTAGTTTTCGGCGGACACAACATCTTTGTGTGTGGTGTTGAGTATGGAACTCGGGCCACACGCATGCCAGGCGAGTGCGCTACCACTTGAGCCACATCCCCAGCCCAAAACCATCTGTTTTCTGATGGCACTATAAGTCTACAATTAAACTAGCTATTTTTGGTTACTGGAATGCATGGTGAGATAAGTACATGTTATTGAAATGGATCCATTCTTGTGTTTATGTTGCTTTAAAATAATTTCCATAGGGGCTGGCATTGTGGCTCGGCAATAGAGTGCTTGCCTAGCACGGGCA